TAAATAAATAAATAAATAAAATAAAAAGGGGAAAAAAAGTTGAGAAAAAAATATACTGTAATAAAAGTTATGTGAATATGATCGCTCTCTCTCAAAATATCTTGTGCTGTATTCACCCTTCCTTTTGGGATAAGTTAAGATGATACAATACCTACATGATGATATGAAGTGAGGTGAATGACATAGGCATTGAGACATAGCATTCATTAGGCTACTATGAGAGTTATTTTAACACAAGCACTGTGATATTGCAACAGTGGATCTGATAACCAAGATGGCTACTAAGTGCCTAACGAGAAGGTAGCGTATACACTGGAAAAAGGGATGATTCACATCCCAGGTGGGACAGAGCAGCACAGTGCGAGAGTTCATCATGCTACTCAAAATGGTGCACAATTTAAAACTTATGAATTATTTATAAAATTTTCCATTTAATATTTTTGAACCACAGTTGACCATGGGCAACTGAAACTGTGGGCAGCAAAAACTATGGATAAAGGGGACTGCTGTACAAAATATTGCTCAAAGAAATTAAAAAGATGTTAATAAAGGATAACATATCCTATGTTCATGGATTGGAAGACTTATTATGATGTCAATACTACCCAAAGCAATCTACAGATTCAGTGCAATCCCTATCAAAATCCCAGTGACATTTTTTGCAGAAATGAAAAGCCCATCATAAAGTACATATGGAATCTCAAGGGACCCCAAATAGCCAAGAAAATCTTGAAAAATAAGAACAAAGCTGGAGGACTCATACTTTCTGATTTCAAACTCACTGCAAAGCTACAGAAATCAAAACAGTGTGGTACTAGCATAAAGACAGACATATAGACAAATAACATAGAATAGAGCCAAGAAATAATCCCCTGCATACCAAGTGTGATCAAACAATATGGTTAATGTTTAAATTTAAAAAAAAATTAATTACACTAAAAGACACATTGCCATTAAACTCCTTCAAAATACTGCCCCTCGCTTTGAACACACTTTTCCCATCGTTCTTGCCACTTTCTGAAGCAGTTCTAGAAGTCCTCTTTTGCAAGTGTCTTTAGTTGTGCTGTCGTGGATGCCTCGATGTCCTGAATTGATTCAAAACATTTACCTTTCATGGTCATTTTGACTTTGAGGAAGAGCCAGAAGTCGCATGGTGCCCGATTTGGTAAATAAGCTGGATGAGGACACACCATAATGTTTTTGACAAAAACTGCTCATACCAGAAGCGATGTGTGACAGAGTGTTGTCATGAGGGAGGATGAAACCATTTACCCATTTCTCAGGCTGTTTTCTACATATATTGTTTCTTAAACGCTCTAAAAAGCCCTTATCATATTTAGAGTTCACTGTAGTGTTCCTAAGTACAAACTCGCACAATTCCATCAAGGTCAAAAATCACAATTTATCACCTTGCTGTTAGATCTTGATTGACATGCTTTTTTCGCACGAGATCTGGATGATTTCTATTGAGAACTCTGAACCTTGGGCTCAGGATCATAACCATAGACCCAAGTTTCATCTCCCGTGATGACACGCCTTTTTTTTTTTTTTTAATTGGGGAATAGTGTTGGGGAATTGGGGAAGGGGAACAGTGTTGGGGAATTAGGGAAGGGGAACAGCACTGGGGAATTGGGGAAGGGAAACAGCCAAGTTGTTGTCCTTCAATCTTAGTTGTGGAGGGCTCAGCTAGCTCAGCTCCAAGTCCAGTCACCATCCGGCCACCCGTCGGCAGCTCAGGGCAGCTCAGCTCAAGGTGCAGTGTTCAAACTTAGTTGTGGATAGGCGTAGCCCACCATCCCATGCGGGAGTCAAACCGGCAACCTTGTTGTAAGGAACATGTGCTCTCACCAGCTCAGCCATCCTGCCACCTGTTGGCAGCTCAGCTCAGGCACAGCTCAGTGGTCCATGTGGGAATCGAACTGGCAACCCTGTTGCTCAGAGCTCGTGCTCTTAACCAACTGAACCACTTGGCCAGCCCATGACATGTCTTAAAAAGCTGGAATCTGAAGTGGCTTGATCGAGTAAATCCAACGAAACTGACAAACGCTGTTGCTTTAGTTCAACAGTCAAGACGCGTGGAACAAATTTCCCACTCACTTGCCTTATGTTCAAACCTGTTGTTAAAATGCTTTCAACGGAATCATAAGAGATGTTCAGATCCTCAGAAATTTCCCTAATAGTCGATCACCCATTTGATAGAATCCTTTCACTTATTCTTTCAATATTCTCCTGGGTTTTTGATGTTGAAGGACATCCTGATCTCTCCTGGTCTTCTCGATTCACAACCATTATGAAATCGCTTGAACCACTTGTAAATGATCGTCATGGTCACTGTAGCATCACCATAAACTAATTTCAACATTTTGTGTGTTTCTTTAGCACTTTTCTGCAGTTTGAAATTTCATGTTAATGCATTGTTCGTTGTCCATCATTTACAGCACACTTTAAAACACACCTTCTCTCAATTGTAGCTCACACCCGAATGACTGCACCGAACAAGTTGAAACTTATCAAACACTGTTACTAAGGTTCCACACACCGCCTCCCATATTGAATATCCCTGCCTTTCCATTGACTGGCACTTGGCAGCAGCATTCACTGTATTTTTTTTATCACACCGCATACCTACAGAACTAAGAATAAATGATGGCTGAGAGAGAAAAAGTAGAATATGTAATAACTATATGCTCTGACAATAAAGATAAAGTACAACAATTTAAAAAAAAAAGAAAAAGGGAGAGAAGAATGGGAAGAATTTAAGCACAAGAAAAGTTTGTTTTCAGTAATCATATTGGTGGTGATATCAGTGATATAATTCTGATATTGTTGTGTGTGTAAAATGAGATGAAACAAAAGAGTAATTACAGGACATTCTATCATCTCCTATGTTCTCAAGAACCAGTATTCTTGATATGTAAAAGGGTTACAGATATAATAGAGAAATTAAGTAATAAGCTCTATAGTTTCAGTTTCAATTGGAAATATTCATATGAACTCATGAGATATTTTATCTTTAATGTGTGTGTCTATAGACAGATAGATATAGGTATCCTAGCTCTGCCTACTGAAAAGCCTAAAACAGTGACTGACCCAGGGCCCCTAGCAAACAGACTATGATCTTGAAATGCTATTTCCCTCTAAAAGAAACCCGTTTCTTAAAGAAATGGAAGATTTCAGATTGGGGACAGAACTTTCAAGATATCAGACAACAAGGAAGCTATCAGAGACTAGTAGGGTCATATCAAAAGGATAGGCTTGGATAGGCTCCCCCAGGCCAAAGATGAGACAAAATGACTTTAAATAATGATAATAATTGCAATAAACAAAAACCCTTCAAATACATTTAAATTCATGACCTTATACGGATATTAGATTTTAATTATCTTCAGAATATAAGGAACCAATTTATTATCTTGAAAACTGGCAAATAAATGGCACGAATCAAACATTTATGCTGCCTTTCCTAAAGGAATTATACTGCTGCCTATCCAAATGATAAATAAGGGACTAGTATTCCAACTAATAAGTGAAAAAGACATGATAGAATTACAGTACCAATATTTTGCAACCTTCAATGAATAGATACAGGCATCAGGTAACAACAGCTTCTGAGATCAGGAAGAGAGAAACAATAACACATTATGCGCCTCCTATGGTCTTGCCAACCACCACATAGAGTATTGCCAAAGGGATTGAATCTGAGTCTGATCCAGTCTGGAATCCAGCTACCAATGTGCAAGGCAGAGGACCTTATTGAACTGTAAATGATGATACAACAGCAAAATCCAGACTGTAGGACATACAGGTCAAATGACCCAGGTTCTGAATCATATAAATTGTAAGGAAGAGAAAAGAATAGGGAGAAAACCTACAGATTAAAGGAGTTTTTTGGGGGTTTTTTTTAAGTTTAATGGGCACAACTACATTATAGTGTCTAGGAATATGCATTTATGAAAAAACTTTTTTCAAAACACAATGAAGCAATTACTACAAAAGTCAGAAGAATGGCTGCTAATGGGAGTACAGAGGTAACTGTGATTGGGATGGGGCAATGGAGCAGCTCTGGCATGGCTAGTATGGTTCTACACCCTGACTGGGTGGTATTATCTTTTAATAATTCGCTAAGCCATACATTTGGTATGTGTATTTTTTTCTGTTTGATTTCATAATAAAAATTCATTTTACAATAAAAAGATTTTCTTAAATAACAATAAATACAAAAGTAAAGAAAATATTAACCAAAACTAAGCTGGTATAGCTAGCTCTGTGGCCATACTGCCTGGGTTCAAATTGTGAATTCTGCCACAAAGTCAGAAAAGTACTAATCTCTCTGTGCCTTAATTTCCTCACCATAAAATGAGGGTAATAAAAGTATTTAGCTCACAGGGCTGTTGTGAAGATTAGGAGAGTTAATATACAGGTATACCTCAGAGCTATGGCAGGTTTGGTTCCAGACCACTGCAATAAAGTGAGTTGCACACATTTTTTGGTTTCCCAGTGCATATAAAAGTTATGTTTACACTATATGGTAGCCTATTAAATGTGCAATAGCATCATGTCTAAAAAACAATGCACATACTTTAATTAAAAAATACTTTATTGCTAAAAAATACTAACCATCCAAGCCTTCAGCAAGTCGTAAACATTTTGCCAATGGAGGGTCTAACCCTCAATTTGTAAAAACACAATTATCTACAAAGGGTAATAAAGCAAAGCACAATAAAATGAGGTATGCCTATAGAAAAGAAATAGAACAGTGTCTGGCACACAGCAGGACAGAGGAGGTGATTAGAGTTTGACCAGTTATCTGTGTTATCTTAGTTACTCAATCTCTCTGGGCTTCAGTTTCCTTAACTGAAATCAAAATATCTATCTGAGAGGATTACCGGGAGGCCAAAAGGAAATATATGTAATGTACTTAGTACAGTAGTCAATAAATAATAGATCCTTTCCATGGCCTCCCAACATCTAGAGAGAGTTATCTGTCACATTAGACATACCTCAGTCATAGCACATTCCTCTTGCACTTTTTACCTGGTCATTCACGTTGATCTCAATTAAATGGTCACCCAGTGAGTCTCAGGTCCGAAACTGGATCTTCATCTAGGTTTAAAAAAAAAAAAACCAGACCAAAATCTTAAAATGTTCAAACTCCTAGGGGCACCCCAGTTGGGACCCCCTCTCATTTCGAGAGATGTAATTTACTGCTCTAATAAAACTATCCTCTGCTACAAACTTTGAAAAAAAAAAAAAAGTTCAACCTCCTAGTAAGAATGGTCTTGTATTATTCCTAGAGCAGGCATCCCTGGTACTAGTAAACACTGAACTGAAGCTGAATCAACTGAAGTAACTGCTTAATGGACTCCAATGTTCAACACCATGTGCCTTTTCTTTTCTCTCGTTTCCCCTTAACTTTCCTCTCCCTGCTGGCAGCCCAAATCTATCATCATTTAGCATCAATTCTGACTTCTGGCTTCAAAGGTAGAATAATCTTATTTGCAAGGGTCCTGAAAAGCAGCACACTCAGAGAGACAAATACCACTGAACACAAAAGGCAAAGGCAGGAAGAGAACTATCTCCTCAATTCCACCTGTGACGAAGTCCTCCTTTTTAGAGGTCCATGCTGTGAAATTAATGTGCCAATTGTTTCTAGCAGCATTTCCCACTCAGACTGTGATAGGACACAGCTGGAACTTTGAGTCACAGGAAGAGACCAAAAGCTTACCAAGGCCAAAGCAGAAACTGTAGGTTTAAGGAGTGTCATAACATACCTAAAGTGAGACTGGGAATGGGAGTTGCAGGGTATGATTGGTTTGTCCATGGCATAGAAAGCCAAGTGCAAAGAAGCAAAACACAGCTATATCTTCCAGCAACTGTGAAGGTTTCCCAAAGAGCCCTTTGGTAACTTGCCCTTTACAGTCTAAAGTCCCTGTAACTGCACCATTCATTAAAATGTAATTATTTTACACCACTTTTTGGGCAGGAAAGCTGGAAATAAACCATGGTGAGTAACTATTCTTTCTCAAATGACTCACATTAAAATCTGTAATTAGGTTTCTCAAAAGCATTTCACATTACTGCAATAAATGGAGCATGCAATGTTTTCAAAGTCTCTACTGTCAATTAAATGCAAAAGCTCTTTTGATTAAACGCAAAAGCTCTATTCCAAAAATATATCAACATGCTGTTTAACAAGAAGACTCATGTTCCTAAGAAGAACTAAGTCTACCACAGATAAAGAAATGGAGTTTAGGACTGGATATCATCTCGAGCAAATCATTCTGCCCCAGAAGAGGTTACACAAAAGGACAGAATACACCTCTCTCCCCTTTGAAGCAGAAGCTGAGGCAAAACTCTAGTTGGCCACCTCTTCCCCAAGTTGGGGTGGGGTAGGCCCGGGTCTACTAGGCAATGCTGAAAGTAAAAAACAACTCATATAGAGGATTGAAATCAATATGGGTAATACCTGCACAGTGTTTAATATTACAGTTAGAAAATAAAGTGGTAGTAGAAACCCTTTCAGATTGGTCTCTTATGTTACGGGTCTCTAGCCTTTCAACATTTCCACCTCATTGATTTTCTTAATAGGATCAAATTAGACTCTGTAAGGTCACAAGCCCCCGGAATCTGGACTGAGCCTAATAAACCGGAGAAAGGATACTCACCTACCCCTTCGCATATACCCTTCCCCCTTTCGCTGGAGTCTTCACTAGCCAAGCAACCTTCTCAGACTCCTTGACACTGAAAAGTCACGGGGGTCTGACTTGGCCGACTCTCGCGGTTGATTATCACTTATCCAGAATCCAGTCTGCGCCAGGTATCATTCTAAGCTTTGCATTTATTGTCCCATTTAACCTTCTCAATCACCATGCAAGGCAAGAATTACCAGCTGTATTCTATAAATGAAGAAGCTGAGGCGCTGAGACGTTACATGAGAAGCAAAAGATCACAAAGGGTGGAGAGCCAGGACTCGAACCAGGTTTGTCAGATCCCCAATCCTAATACACATATTGGGATTTTTAATTGGAGCGAACCCGTCCCAGGCGGCTCCTCTCTGGGGTCCCCGACAAGGGTCGGTTTTGACCACTCGCAGGTCCCAGGTGAAGCCAATTCCGGGATGATTTAGAGGGGGGCTCTGACCGACGCCTCTGTGAACCCCGAGAGCCACTCACCTTCTTCAGCCGCCTCCCCTCACAGCAGCGCGCCCAGCCCGGCTGGCTCTGCCGCCTTTACCCCGCCCCCGCGACCGTTACCGCGGATTGGGAGGCAGGCCAATCGAGCCGGAGCACGTCGAGGGACCGCCCTCTGCTCCGCCTCCGAACACCGGGAGCGATTTTCTCGGGTAGCACGGGGAGGCTGGGACAGCCCCGCGCCCTCTGGTTGGCTCCGCTGCTGGGGGCGGGGCTTACTATTAACGTAGACGCGAGATGCCGCGCTTGGTTTGCTGTCTGCGCCTGCGCACTCCCATCGCACTTGCTACTCGCTTTGGCTTCGCAGGAGTTCTATCACTTCGCTGGACACTCAGTTGCCAAAAGAATTCAGAAGTACACTTTTGAAGAGGTGGGGGAGTGAGGGCCAGGCCTCGTGGCCAGCGCAGGCTGACCTCCACACAAATACACATGCCGTGACTGCGAGCTCTTGCTGCAGGACCGTCAGCCTGTTCTGTAAGTTCCAGATGTAGCTGAGCACAGCAGCGCCTGGCATTTGGGAAGGACCCCAAGAAGTGTTTGTTGATGACATTTTATGTTTCCATTCAGCATTTTCCAAATCTCCACGAAGCGTCAAGCCCTACATTGGGCTACAAAAATGCAGAGGTGGCTGACTGGAGATGCTCAAAGTCTAGTTAGGGAGATGGGTATACACTTTGAAATTAATATACAGTGTCATGTGATGAGAGAAGGGTGTAAAGGTTGCAGAAGGGAAAGAGAAGGAAGATTATCCAAGTCCGTCACTTTAAGTCTTCCTCAACGAGTGGGCCTCAACCCTCAGCCTGGGGAGTTTTGGAAACTCTTGATGCTCAGGCCCCAGACCAATTTAATCAGAATCTCCAAAGTCATTTTGTAAAGCTGCCCAGTTAATTCTGATGTGCAGCCAAGCTCAAGAAATGCAAACCTAAAGGAATACTTAAGAGTGATTCTGAATGGCGAATAAGAGTTCCCCAGCGGTACAGGGAGGGAAGGTATTTAGAGCAAAGTTCATGTGCAAATTAAATAACTCCACTGTACACTATTATAATGCCTAGTTCACAAGTGCTCAGTAAATTTAGCTTTTTTTTTAAATTAAGCCTGGGTCTCTTTAATACAGCTCATATCTGCCCTCCCCAAAAACCTAACTCCCAAAGCATTTACAAATATAATGGAATTTACTGAGGGCTTCCTGAGAAAGCTGAGTGTTGCATCATCGGAGAGGCAGAAGAGGGAAGCCTTAGCAAGTGTACTAAAAGAGCTGAGACTTTATCCAGGAGGTGATAGGGAACTATAGACAAGTTTTCAAAGGGGGCATAAAATGGAAAGGTTTTTGTTTGGGTGTCTTCAAGCCTAATTTTCTTGCATCCTGATATACAAGTAAAAACTGTAAAAACAGCTCCACAGCGTACAAATATGGTCACTGCTTTATTTTTTCCACAAAACGAGATCAATTCAATCAGCTCTATTTCTCAGTTTAACAAGTTGAGAATATACAATTATGGTCCCTGCCCACCATTTTCAAAAACTCAGGGAATTAAGTGATCCAAAAATTCCTAAGGGAAAATCTAACTTCCATATACAAGGCATCTCATCTGCCCACCGTTGACATTGCATTTTATAGCCACATGATGTCGCTGTTGACAACCTGTATTTTCCAACTGGTCAAATGATGCACGTCAAGGGAGGTGCAGTTCCCACAATGGCCAACAGGGATCTCCCAGGGAAGGAATCAGCCATGGTATCTCCCACAAGAAGGCCTTACAGTCACAGCTCTTAGGTTACAATACTTTCAGGCCCATACTCAGCCTTGTCCAGGCAACTGGGTCCACTGTGAGTTTGAGCTCTGTGTCTGCCCCATGCAAACATGTCCTGGGTTCCAAATAGAAAAAGGGGTTACCATAATTGGAATTGGCAGTGGGGTGGATACTCCTTGAATCACATGGGTTGGAAGGTGGAGGCATGTCTACTTAAGTAAAACAGTCCAGTGAGGGGCGAGAGGACAATAGATGCTAGATAGATAACCAGCGTCCTTCACAATCTTCAAAGCACGAGAAGGCTGATTACTCTGTATTTCCTAACTCTAGAGCCTTTCTTTCATTACTCTTGAATTTTGTGCGTAGCAAGTGGAGGGAAGGAAGCTCTAGAGCTCTGTCCTCCAAAGGAATTCCCATCTTATGGACCACCAAAGGTACAGCCTGTCCAGCACCTCTCTTTGCTAAAGAAGGAAAAGACTCTGTATGCAAGTTATCTTCAGCTCAGCATCCTGCTGCATTAGTCTTAAAAGTTTTGTATGGGCCTCATCCACCCATCAAGATTCTAATGGTTCTAAACACTTATTTAAGATCCACTCATTTAAAAGAAGTGTATAAAGCACCTGTTATGTACTAGGAATTGAACTAGATTATGTACTAGGGATTGAACTAGATGCTGAGTTTACAGTGGTGAGTAAACCAGATATGGTTCCTGCCCTCACAGAACTTAGTCTAGTTGAGAGAAGAAATATTAAATAAACACAAATAAGCATATAATTATGATAAGTGCTATGAAGGAAGAGAACAGGGGTGTGTGGAGAAGGCCTTTTAAGGAATTGACATTAATGAGGTGTAATCAAAAACTACGGTGAATGCTGCTGCCAAGTGCCATCCAATGGAAATGCAGGGATCTTCAGTAATGAGAAGTGGCACATCAAACCTTAGTAACAGAGTGTGACAAGTTTCAACTTGTTCAGTGCAGGTTGTTGGGTGTGAGCTATGGTTGAGAAAAGGTGTGTTTTAAAGTGTGCCATAAATCATCTTCCATCACGACAACGCTTCGTGTCACATGTCACTTCTGGTATACAGAAATTTCCGTCAAATAAAAACATTACAGTGTGTCCTCATCCACCTTATTCCCTGGATCTGGCACCGTGGAACTTCTGGCTCTTCCCCAAAGTCAAAATGACTATGAAAGGTAAACGTTTTGAATCAATTCAGGGTATCGAGACAGCCACGACAGTGCAACTAAAGACATTCACCAAAGAGAACTTCCAGAACTGCTTCAGAAAGTGGCAAGAAGGATGGGATAAGTGTGCTCAAAGTGAGGGGGAGTATTCTGAGGGGGATTAATGGCAATGTGTTTTTTATTGTAATAATTTTTTATTTTAAACATTAACTGTATTCTTTGATCACACCTCGTAAACAGAGATCCAAAGCCAGTCTTCATTTCAGCTGCTTTCCTCTGTGCTTTGACTTCTCAGTATAAATTATAGCCTTCATTAGCAATTAAACAGATCTTTTTGTTTCTGAACTTCTAAATTGATTCTCAAATTTTCTCCAAGGTACAGAACTATCAGGTTTCTTCCCACTACAAGGAGTATGTCAAATATGAATGGCATTTGGTGATGAATTCTTGAAGATTCTTCAGCTCACAAGTCTTTTAGACTTAAGCTCCTTTTTCACACTAATAATTTGTTTCTGCCTCCCACATGAGAATTCAAACTCCTGGGGACATGGATCATATCTTACTGTTTCCATCACCTAGGATAGTCTCTGGCACATAGTTGGTGCTCAATGCACTGTTAAATTTAAGTCAGATTTATACCGGGGGGGGGCATTCATCTTCAGCAGTTTTTTTTTTTTAAGATTTTTATTGGGGAATTGGGGGATGGGTACAGCGCTGGGGAATTGGGGGAAGGGGAACAGACAAGTTGTTGTCCTTTTGTTCTTCATTCTAGTTCTGGAGGACATTGCTTCACTGGCCCAAGTTGGCACCATCATTGCGCTCTTCCCGGCGGAGGCAGATTAGTCGCTGGCTTCTGGACAGCTGCTCACAGCGGCTGCTGGCCGCTCATGCTGGATGCTGGCTACACACCGTAGCCCATGGCAACCCACTGCTGCAGCAGGGGCTGCAGCCTATGCCCTCGCCAGCGACTCACGGCAGCCCAGCTCCAGGTCGAGCTGTTGTTCAGCATCTTAGCTGTAGAGGGCAGTGTCACTGGCCCTCATATGTGGGATCCGAACCGGGGCCTTTTGGCATCCCAAGCCAGTTCTTAACCAACGCGCCACTCAGCCGGCCCTCAGCAGTCATTTTCTTATATGAAGGACATTAAGCAAAAAATTCAGGGAAATATAACAAACACTCAAGAATCTATACCGAATAACAGTAGTTGTATTAATTGAGCCCTTAAAATGTGCCAGGCTCTGGGCTAAGCACTTTCATTTTCTTACTTGTTGACTCTTCCCAACAACCTTAATGTAAGTACTATTATTATCTTTATTTTACAAATTATCAAATTAGAAAACAGAAGGAGAAAAATGACTTGCTAAGGTCACACAGTATGTGGCAGAGCCAGGATCTGAAACTAATATTAACCACTTGACCATACCATTTCCTGTGATGGGCATCTGCTCTACTATAAAACTGTATGCATTTACTCCCATTTGCAATTATTTCATCTATCTGTGTAATAGTTATCTATTGACATATAACAAACTACCCCTAATTATAGCAGCTTAAAACAGACATTTATTATCTCGAAGTTTCTGTCAGGAATACAGGAATGGCTTAGCTGGATGGTCTGGACAGAATCTGTCATTAGGTTGCAGTCAACTTGTTGGCTAAGGCTACAGTCATTTCAAGAATCAAAGGGACTGAAGGATTCACTTCTAGATTCACTCATGTGGTTATTGGCAGGCCTGAGTTCATTCCTTGTCAAGTGTGGGCCTCTCCACAGGCTGCCTGAGTGTCGCCACAACATGGCAGTTTCCCACAGAGGGAATGTGTATACATCTAAGTCAGAAGCTGAAGTCTTTTTTATAACCTAATCTTAGAAGCGATATATCATTTCTGCTGCATGCTATTGATCACACAAACTAACCTTGGTAAAACGTGGGCGACGACTACACAAGGATATGAAAAGTAGGGATCATTGGGAGCCATCTTGGAGATGACTAACCACAGTCTGTTTGCTCATTTTTTGTGGCTGCCTCCTTCCTGAGAGGAGGGCAGAAAAACCATCAGTGCTGCTCTCTGTTATAGTCCCTGTCACAGTGCCTGCCATATAACAGATTGTCAATAAATATTGAATAAATGTAATGATGATGGTGATAGGAATTCCAAAGGATGAGTTCCCTATAATCCTTTCTTAGTCTCACACAAATTCCCAGTTGTTATTCATGGTACCATTAAATAATTATTAAAAGCAGGACTATATCACAACCAAGAATACTTACTCATGTATATAATTTCTATATAACTATAAAAAGTGGACTTGGAAGGAAACACTAAATTCATGAGAACGTTGACCTTTGGGGGAAAGAAAATAATGGTGTTGGGGGTGAAAATCAAATAGGGCTTTATCTGCAACATGTTCTTTTATTAAAATTTTTTATCGGGACAATATTTAATGATAGTCAATTCTGGGTGGTGGGAATATGGGGATTATCCTCTGTCCTCCATATTTTAAAAACTTCTCAAAATAAACAAGATACAAAATTTTAAAGGCTTAACCAATTGGAACATGTCTGTACTGCCTTCCTTTAGGTCTTTGGTCTAATTAAGGGTATATCTACAAGCCTCACTCTCCACATGACTCAGAGCAAAACCTATTTTCTCCTGAAATTGTCAAGATTTTCTGATTTCAAGTTCTACAAAATCGCCTTGGTTCACTGCTTCTCGACCTTCTGTATTTGTGTAGATAGAGCCACAGCCTCCTTGTGTTGAGGGAGAGCTGCCTAAGCAGCTGCAGCCTGGCCAGCAGCAGGAGACCGTGGTTACTGGCACTGGTTGTGACACACCATCTCCTGAGGCCAGAATTCTGGGCCCTAGGCTCATTTCTAAAGCACTGGTGCCTCTTCCTTTAACACATAGCCAGTAGGCACAGTGGAACAACACTGGACAGGCACATGGAAATTTTAAATCTGTAGGTATTATGTAAAGATTACGTAACTTTTCCCTTTTATTTTGATCTTCATTCATGCTGTTTAAAAAGTAAGTTCAGAAAATCATTAACAACTCCCTTTTCAAAGGGAAGCCCAATGAAAACATGGACTATTGTGAATGAAAGCATTTTTAGCTGCTCTTTCAAAATAAATCACTGCTGTCTATGGGCAAACTGGTGAGAGGTCATTTAAGAGGAAAGAGCAGCATCTAGGTACTTCCTGGGAAACAAGGAAACAATCTGAGAGTGAAAATTAAGTCAAAAGCAGGATCAGCCTAAAGGAATGAATGCATTTTATACTCAAGTTCAATACCTTTCACGGTATTTCATTCAGATTTAATTTCTTTTCATAACAATCCTGTCTGGTAACAATTCACTATTCCTACCTCCAGTGTCTGGAGCCCAGGGGATGAACAGGTAGAAAATGCAGCCCAAACTAGTATGTTCCTTATTTCCAGATATCCTAAAAACTATACCCAAAGACAGACGACTGGATTAAGAAACTATGGTACAGGGCCGGCCGAGTGGCGCGATGGTTAAGAACTGGCTTGGGACGCCAGAGGACCCCAGTTCGGATCCCACATATGAGGGCCAGTGACACTGACCTCCACAGCTAAGATGCTGAACAACAGCTCAACCTGGAGCTGGGCTGCCGTGAGTCGCCAGCGAAGGCATAGGCTGCAGCCCCTGCTTCAGTGAGTTGCCATGGGCTACCGTGTGTAGTGAGCAGCCAGCAGCCGCAGTGAACGGCCGTCCAGAAGCCAGTGACTGATCTGCCTCGCCTGGGAAGAGCGCAATAATGGTGCCAACTTGGGCCAGTGAAACAACGTCCTCCACAACTAGATTGAAGAATAAAACAACAGCAACTTGTCTGTTCCCATCCCCCCAATTCCCCAATAAAAATCTTAAAAAAAAAAAAAAAAAAAAACTATGGTACACTTACACAATGGAGTATTACTCAGCTATAAAGAAGGAAATCGTTCCATTTGCAATGATATGGATGGAACTAGAGAACAGTATGCTAAGTGAAATAAGTCAGTCAGACAAAGACAAATACCATATGATCTCACTTATATGTGGAATTTAAAGAGCTGAATAAATGAGAAATGTAAACAGAAATAGTTTCAGAGACACAGGAAAAACAGGGTTGTTATTTGGGAGGGGTGGGGATGAAGGAGAAGGGGAAGGGACGAGACAATACAAATTGGTAACTACAATATGGCCTCAGGACTAGAAAAGACAGTCTGGGGAATACAATCAATAATGTTGTAAATATTTTTCGGGGGCCAGATGGACTCATGTCTTGTTAGGGAGTCCACTTCATAGACAGTGTAGAGGCCTGACCACCACACTGTATTTCTGAAACTGATGTTGAATACTATTGTATGACAACTATAATTACATATACATATAATCACGGGATGTGGAGTAGAGAGTGGGAATGGAGTCAATGGAATTGTAATAGATAAGTATGATATCGGGGGTGGGAGGGCAGTGAAGAGGGGAGGAGGGTTGTTACCTTGTGAGGGGTGAAAAGGATAACGATTGCATTGTTCTGTACACCTGAAACTAATAATAATAATAAATAAATAAAATTTAAAAAAACTGTACCCAAAGAGAAAATAGTGCTCTTTTCTCTTTGAACAAGCCAGCTGAGAAATCACAAACTGCCTTGCCTATTCAGGGTGCAGACTTGCGTGTACCTTATGAGCGCACTCTGGGGTCCCCGGGCAGAGGAGCTTTCTAGGCCTCAAAGAAAGGGCTCTTTTTTCTTCAAGTGTAATTAATACTTTTCTAATAACAGAACCTGTTAACATGAACTTTTCAAATTCCACAGGCCTGGCTCCACATGCTGGCCCTGCAATTTCTGAAGGACTTTGGGTCTCTCTGTAATTGGCTGTTGTAAGAACTCCAGGCAATGATATATAAGGCACATAGCAAGTGTTCGATAAATTATACCTTATTGCTCTTGTAAAATATCCTGATTCCTAAAGTTGTATAAGAAAATATCACCCTTCATTAACATATCTTTGAGCTACTCCCCAACCAGGATTCCCTGGTCCTAAAACGACTCGGGATTGTTTCTCAGTAGAACTGAGGACTAGGAAAAAGGAATTAGGGAGGTGTTTTCAGCTAGCCTTGTCCCATCTCTGGAACGTTCCATTCTAGAGCTTTTTACCTTTCCCCCCTTATTTATTCTGTCAACAACCATTTGTTGAAAACTCTGTTCAAGACACCGGTGCAGAAGAAAATACAAATATGAAAAGTCTTTCTCTTCAGAGAACCTTCAATACAGGGTAGCAAACAAGAAATCAATGCTCACTAAGCAGAATCCCTGTAACGTAATTTGCTTAAGAATTCAGCTATTCTTAGTTTGCAGATCGGTTAACCTAATCAATAGATTGCTCCCTATTGTTTTCCACGCCCCCTTCATTCACATACTTGCTCCCATCTAGAAACTGAATCCACTCTACCAACCCCAAAGGTGAAACAATCCTTTACATTAACATCAAGCTGCAGGAAGAAATTACACAAGGAGCTTTATTGCCCCTATGCCTCCAAATCTGCTGGGCCCTCAGAATCCCTCCAGAATACTTCACATCTTTACTTTGTTGCGGGGCCCACTCTCCACAGGGACCGTTCTCCACAGGGACCGCTCACTGCTCTCCTCAGACGGCCCAGTCAACAATCTTCCTTCCTCTCTGCAGGTGACATTGTCTCCTCCTCAGAGTGAAACTCAAGGCCACCTAAAACATTACCCAGGCCTGTTCTTCATTCACTCATTCAACAAATATTTATCAGAGCCTATTAGGTACATATGAGCCTGCATTGGGCAGATGTGGGACATAAGACAGAGCCAAGCAGGCATGGTCCCTGCCTTCACGGCCTCAATCTACTCGTAAGTTACACATTCAGCAAAAATTACACAAATAATTGCACACCTTGAAAGGGACTAAGAAGGAGAATTACAGGTGCTGCAAGTCTTCAGGGCCAGGACAGTTTTCTTTAAGAAATGATCTATGAAGAACAATCTCAACAACAAAATGGACGTTACAAGAGGGAAGAAGTATCGCAAGGAGTATCGCAAAGGCCCGGGGGAAGGAGCTTGCATCATCTGAGTTCCTAAATGAAGCCAGGTAGGCAAAAGCGACATCACACAAGGCCTATGCCTACCATAAGGAGTTTTGGCCTTCAAACTAAAGAAGTAACCAGAACTCATAAAGAGGTTTCCAGAAGCGAATGCCATGATCAGGCTGACCTGCCCTGAGGCTTCAGCGCAGGCACGGGTCCGTTTTTGCCCAGCGCCTGCCATCAGCTGGTTCCTACCAACACTGTTGGCAAGGGTGACTGCCTGAGGCGCGGGGCCGTTTCTCAGTGTGGGGGTTGAGGAAAGGCCTCTACCGAGAGCGCTAAGCCATCCGCGGAGGCAGCGGGCGTAGCCGGGTCTGCCCTGCGGAGAAGCGGGTGGCGGCCTGCGCTGCGGACCTCAGGGGACCTGAAGCGCGACAAAGAGTCGGCGCGCTTGGTACTCGCGTCGGCCGAGCTGTAACTTCCGCGGAGGCTGCTTCTGGTTCTCGGCGAAGGGAGCAAGGCCTCGCGGCCTAAGTGGCGGAATCGGCACTCCTCGGTGCACGCGTGGCCCAGAGCCTCCCGCAGCCCACGGCGTACAGGTGAGATCCGCAGCCCAGGTGGGGCGGTCCGGGCCCGGCCGCCGCGCGCCCCTGAGCACAGCCCCGGGCGCCCGCGCTGCGGCGCAGGCGGCCGCCATCTCGCGGCGGCGGCGGCGGCGGCGCGGGAGCCGTGGGCGGCGTCTGCGCAGCCGGTGAGAGCCTGCGGTGAGGCACACGGCCCCGCGCTGCGTGTGTTCCGGGCGCCTCCCGTCCGCCACGCCGCGGGCAGAGGCGGGGACCGGGGCTGGCGGACCCTCCTGCCCGGCCAGGCCCTGAGACCGGCCGCTCTGGCCTTGTCCGCAGCTACAAAAATCGATACTTGCCGCTGTTGAAAAAATGGAACAGAAAAGCGCAAGGAAGGAAGCACAGGAGCCGAACCCGTTCCCCAGAGACAACCCGAGTTAACATTAAGGTGTATTTCCTTCCAGTCCCTCCCACCCCCACCCCCCGTAAGTAAGCATGATCGGACTGTATTTTTGCAGGACCTGGATCAGAAAGTGCTGTAACTTGGATTGTTTCTTTTAATACGTTACACACATCTACCCGTGGCTTTAAATGTTTTTCTACATTTCTTTTTCTTGACCGCACTAGACTGCGTTCCTGTGCGCCAGGTTGACCTCCGCATCCTTCCCGGAAGCCTGGCCCCGGCTTGACCTTCACTTGAGTGACAGGACTGTGATTTGCTTAATGAATTTCCTCCCAGATGGTGGACATATAGGTGGTTTTCAGTTTTTAGCTGTCACAAAAGCATTTTGTTGAGCACTGTTCCATCTGTTTTTCTGAGCATCATCACTGTTTAAAGTAACTCCTTCAGTGGGCTTGTAGTATACGTTGCAAAACGCTTCTCAGAAAAGTTATTCTCATTTGTACCTCCAGTAGTATTTGGGAATATCTGGCCGACCTTGTTGTAGGTCCCAGTGCCTCACAAGAGACCGGACGCACAGTGTCAACACGTGTTTGTTGAAGAGTGACCTGCCTGCCTTGTGGCTGGCCTTACCTAAAGCTTTTGCTGAAAAGGGAACTATGAGTATCTTAGGAACTTTAAAAACTGACAGGTTTAGCCTCGAGAAACCACTACAGTCCCCAGTTAGGTTAAACCTAAGGTAGCACAAAATTCAATGTGGGTTAGATAAAAAGTGAAAACTTTTCAATGTTGAAGTCATATTCTGAAGCATGGGTGTTGGGTAGATAGGGAAGGGATTGTAAAAGATTATGCTGATGGGTAGTCACTGGACACTCAAAAAGCTTTCTTTGAAGACTTGTAAAAAGTTTCAAGTGAGTGATTGTCCTCATTAGTGAAAATAAACAGAATTTGTTTTTCCACCTTTTCATTTACATTTTTAAAACTTTGTGCTAAAATAGAGGGAATTTTTCTTTGTAATGATCCGTTTCCTGTTTGGTCACATGATCCTGGCTGTGCTGTATTCATCTTTTGGTCTCTGCAGAGTCCCCTCACTCTGAGCTTAGTGCCCAGCTCAGTGCCTGGCACATAAGTGATTGATAACTATTAATTAGCATAATGAATGAATTTAGAATATGACATGTGTTTATTCAGTCTAGTTTGTAACTTAGAGATCTGTGTGTGACAGTCATTTCTCATTCAAATGAGTAAGGTTTAAGTCAGGGACAAGGACAGCTGTGATCATCTCTTGTTTATAAGTGTAATCACATTCCAAGAAACACTACTGGCAGGGCACCTAGGACTTTTTCTTTTCTTTTTTTTTTTTTTAACAACTTTGTTGATATATATCACATACCATATAAGTCACCCATTTAAAGTGTACAGTTCAATTTTTTGGTATATTACAGTACTACTTTTTTTAAGTTGTGGTTAAATATATATGACATAAAATTTGCCACTTTAACTATTTTTAAGTGTTAACAATTCAGTAACATTAAGTATAGTCACAATGTTGTGCAACCATCACCACTATTTCCAAAGCTTTTCAACACCAGATACTTCATAAATAAATGTTGAATACATGAATGAACGTTGATAGTTTAGAGAAAAAAAATTTTTTAAATAGGAGTGATGATTTGTAATCTCTCTTGTGATTTGTGTTATCTTTTATACCTATATGAAAAGTTATTATAATTAAGATGGTACCATGCCTTATGTTAGTATGACAATACTTCAAGTTCCTTATAATGGAAAATGGGGCAATTTTCTTCAAGTTTGAATGCTGAATTACTGAGCTTTCTAGAGTCTCTAAAAGTTGTGGAGCAAAATTTGAATGATATCGCTAAGTCCACTCTGATTTGCAAAGGATACCTTATCCACGTTGTTACGCTGTTTGGCTTACTTTATTGCACTGTATTCTCTTTGCTTTCCTAGTTGCAGGATACTCTCCACTTTTATAGGCGATATCCTAGGGTTTCCAAAGACTAGAGCAATCTACAAATTTCTAAGGTCCTACTTAAAAAAAAAAAAAAAAGAGGGATTTGTTTTAGGTACGAAGTGTTTTTGAATATTTACATCCTAAAATTCTTAGCTTTTCTTTGCCTGTTGTGTTGCTTTTATGGGTGCTAATCTCTTCCTTAACATTTTTATAAAAACACTTTGTGGCTTTTATCTGTTTCCAGCCAAAGAAGGTTGGCAATCTCCCACTTTTAACAAGGAGAGAGCCCCCTGGGGCATTTATAGGGAGAAGGTAGGCTAGGGTAGATCCTGGGAGCAAAAAATAGTGAGCCTGTTTTTCAGTGGGTTAGGCTGGGTACAACTGTTAATCCCAAATCTTCAAATGTGGAGAGTTTCCTATGCATGTGAGCTTATCTGTGCCTCTGATGTCAGTAAAACTTAATTAGCCTTACAGCCCAATTAGTGTTTAATTACACAATACTGAGCTCTAGTTTTGGTGTGGGCCCTGCTAGTGACCTGAGCAAACCACATAACTGATGTGGATTCATTATTGGCACTAGTAAGTTAAGTGGGCTTGAGTAAGCAGGTACATTGTTTGCTCTTAGAAGGTGAACTAGCATATCCCTGGCTGCTTCCTGCAAACTCAACATTTCTTTGAAGTTATGCAAAAAAAAATTTTTTTAATTATATATTCTACCATAATATAAACCTTCTAAAATTTAATATACAAATTGCATTTTAAATTTGTTACCACCCTTTAATAACATTGATGCTTCCAGAAGATGCATTGTTTATCCTGGAGTTTTATGTATTCCCTGATCCACTTCTTCAGACCCTTGGGACTTATTGTGTCTCAATTTGGGAATAATGGGACCCAGAGGACCTCTAAGTCTCTTGAAGCTCTGACATGGTATATTACTTGAAATAAACTAGTGTGTTTATTCTCTAGTTTTAGGAAATTGTAAATCCATAACATGGAAAAATATGATCGGCCAATTTGCATGACTTAACTTCTTTCTCTGAAAATTAGAGTTTGCAATTCTATTGTATGTAGAAGCTGTTTCATCAGAAACTGCATGCAATTTAAAAACTGGATTGCAAAGTTAGAAAAATCCCTTTGCAGATGTCATCTTTGTTGCTCTCAATCTTTCTCTGCTGCAATTCTGCTTTTTTCTTTCCCGGCTGCTAATTGGATTAAAGACTGTTTTGCCAACCATGGCATCTGGAGATGACAGTCCTATCTTTGAAGATGACGAAAGGTAAATGTCTTGCATTGCAATAAAACTAGCTTTTGAAACTTTCAAGATTGTTTTAATCAGTCAGAAGAGTTATTTATCCAGGCTACTTTTTAAAGGACACATTTTGTAAAATTGCAGAATGTGTGGTTTTGCTTTTTTACAATGTAGAACAAGGGTAGTAAACACCTGGCATGGAGGTGGCCACCACTGACATGGTAGCCTTTCCCAGAGGACCTGGATGGAAGGTCTCCAAGTCCCTGTCAGCACAAAGTTCTTGGCAACCACTTCAAAATGATATAAATCTAGTTAGCATCTCTGAGTTAGAGCATACAAAGGAGATTAAAAGGAATGGAGAGAGTAGGATATAGTTAAGAGAACAAGCTCTGGAACCAGAGTCCTAAGTTTAAATCCCATCTGCCACTTACTGTCATTGTGACTTTAGACAAGCCCTTAGCCTCTCTAAGCCTCGGTTTCCTCATCTGTAAAATACGGACAATAATAGTACCCATCTTATGGTGAGGATTCTATGAGTTAATATGTGTAAAGCTCTTAGAAGAGTGACTGGCACATAGTAGGCACTTAACTGTTAGCTATGATCATTAATACTGTAATAAATGTTACTTCTCTCAAAACTAAAAACTCATATCAGTATCAAAATATTATATTTGTATTAGATATGTCTTTCACATAAGGCACATGTATATTGTTTTGTGTTAAACTATTAATATCAGAAATATGTTTAAATTGTGCCAGAAATTTCTGCTAAAATAGAATCCTTTATTTTTTTAAATAAGATTTCCTATAGTAATGACAAGAATTACTATTTTGCATAACATTTTCATCTGTATTATAGGACATTTCTTCCATGACTTCTCTTTTTTCAGTATAATAAATTAGAACCTTTTTATTAAAATGAATTCCTAGTCATTGGTTTAAGTATAAAAGGTTTGGAGAATTCTTGAGAATGATTGGATCTGAATATGAAAAACCAAAATTAAATACTTTCCTTTTTAAATGAGGGGAGGAAGAAGTAGAGACTTTTTACTGACCTTTCTAAGCATAATTCTGTAGCCTTAGCTTAGATAGCCCAGCTAGCCCGGATAAACTGATAGATTTTTAATCCTATTAATATTAAGGTGACTTTGTTTGGAGTTATCCGACTATATATATATAGTAGTTTCATCTTAAAGGAACAGCGTATAAGAGGAAGACAGTCCATGTACTGTGAGTAGGATTTCTTAAGTAATATTACTTTAAGATTTTGTAATTTTAGGGGTTTTAAAAAATCTGATACTTTCATCTTGGAAGGATTCATTGGTAATTCTATTACTGTTTTTGGCCTAATGTAATTGCTTTATTTTATTCCCTTAGCCCTCCTTACAGCCTTGAAAAAATGACAGATCTTGTAGCCGTTTGGGATGTTGCTTTAAGTGATGGAGTCCATAAGATTGAATTTGAACATGGGACCACATCAGGCAAACGAGTGGTATATGTAGATGGGAAGGTAGGAGAAAAATATGTTACTTTGTAAAACATGGTATGCAGAGAAGGTTGATTTTGTTATTGTAGATTCTTCATATGTGAATTCGGGCTTACAGTGGTTTATAAATTGGCCTGTATCATTTTGCTGTACAAGGTGAACTAATACTAGTTATAGAATTCATAGACTATAACATTTACTAAACTTAAAATGCCTTTTTTCTAAAACCTTTGCATCATGAATTAATAAAATTACATCTAACTAGCATTGTCATTTGCTCACTTTAATTATATTTTTCTAAAATTAAATACTAAATTTTATTCCACTTGTGTGTTTTCAACTTTTCTATTTTATTACTTAGGAAGAGATAAGAAAAGAATGGATGTTCAAATTGGTGGGCAAAGAGACCTTCTGTGTTGGAGCTGCAAAGACAAAAGCAACCATAAATATAGATGCCATCAGTGGTTTTGCTTATGAATATACTCTGGAAATTAACGGGAAAAGTCTCAAGAAGTATATGGAGAACAGATCAAAAACCACCAATACTTGGGTATTACATTTGGATGGTGAGGACTTTAGAGTTGTGTTGGGTGAGTTCTGTTTCTGCAGAATTTATTGGCTTTTTATGATGGCTGTTTACTTTCTCTAACTGTCCCGACCTTTTATGGGAGCTATGAATAAGAGATGATAGGTGCAGGTGTATTTTCAATGTGTTCTGTGTGAATGAAGTATTCATTTAATTGGCTGATTTATATATTAAATATAAGATCCAGATTTTATAGTGATGGATTGAGGATTATAAACTTGGGTTTAAAAAAATATCGATGTAGACGTTTGCTATTATTTGATATTTCACTTTAAAAGCATGTCTAAAGGCCGTTGGAAATTTAAGATTCATCAGTAAGAAGGGAACTTTTCTCCAGGGTTAGGACTGCAGCAGATCAAAATTATCAGAGTCCAGGGGCAGTCGGTTAGCTCAGTTGGTTAGAGCACAGTGCTCATAACACCAAGGTTGCCGGTTCAATCCCCGTATGGGTCCTGAGTTGTGCCCTCCACAACTAGATTGAAACAACTACTTGACTTGGAGCTGATTGGTCCTGGAAAAACACACTATTCCCCAATTTAAAAAAAAAAAAGAGTTCTATTGAAAAAAAAAAGAAATCTGCATGGTCTTTAAAAAAAAAATTGTCAGAGTCCAGATAAAGTAGATTAAAAACTAAAAAGTAAAAAATTAATAAGCTGTTGATCTTGATCTTTAAGCTAAGTTCTGTTGTACAGATTGTCATCTGTGTTGAGTTTCTATTGGTCTCAAAATTTGTGAGACAAATATTTACCAGTTACTACCTTTTCTCTTCTGATTACTCCTAGTATTTCCTGCTTCTCATATCACTAAGTTGAGACTGTTTAGATTATCTCATTAATTCACTGATTCATTTACTTAGATAGTATTCAGTACCTACTAAATGACAGTAAATGTACCAATCCCTGAGGATGCATAGGTGAAAGTACCTTATCCATGCTTTTAAAGAGTGTACAGCCTAGTCAAATGCTAGCAAACATCTTTTTTTTTAAGATTGAAAAATGTTTATCAAGTAATTAAATGCACATAGTTTAAAAAAAGAAAACAAAAACTCTTGTATAGCTTATTGAAGAAACTGGATCAGTTTGTCTTGGAAAGTTTCCTATGGTCTGGATTTTGTTGATTGCATTCCTGTGATGTTCCAGTCTTCAATATTTCCTGTAAATTGGTAGTTGACTCTGAAGAATTGGTCAAATTTAGGTGGTGGTTTTTGTTTGGGTTTTTTTCTGGCAAGACTGCTTTATAGTTTGTTATATGAAGAGATACATGGTATTTATTTGTCAATTTTTTATGATGTTTGCAACCATTAATACCTAGTACCTACATCCATTAATTCATTAGCATTTGCCAAATGATGATATTCTGATTCCATCATTCCTTATTCATTAGCTGGAATAAGTCTATAATGAGAAACTTTTACTATTTGGTTACACAGAGGTACAGTTTGTGTAAGAAATGCAGGATAACTGCTTGTTTTCCCTTTATCAGTTTTCAAGATATTGAATTGACTCCTTATTCTCCTCCAAAAGCGATCATTTAGGTTTTTTCAAATCATTATTAACACATGGACGTAAAAAATTTGATGTATTTCAATACATTGCAGTTATTATCCTTATTGATATTGATGCTTAAATTATCCCATTTTTGGCCAATTGGATATTCTTTAGATTGGCGCTTGAATCCTTTTGACACATCCTTTGTAGACTGTGATAGCTTCCTTGCTATCTGGTATGACAAAATGGGCTCATTTTGAACATTTTCTGCCCAGAACCGGAATCACCTATTTCTCCTAAGAAGACCTTGTTTTCCTTAGAGGAAAATGGTATTTCAAGAGCATAATCTGGGCATACCTTAAGGATGCTCATTCATTATTTTTTGGGTCGTCAATGGATGGAGCAAGGAAATTATATGGATGGATGGATGGATAGATGGATGAAGAGAGGGAGGGAGTGACTTTTTATAGATAAAATAGCTTATGAGTTCATACTGATACTTGTATAATAATTCAAATTCAGGAATAACAACAGGTTTTTACTTAACCTTATCTAAAATCTGTATGTCTTTTCTTTCATAATGAGAATTTTCCTTCTCAAGGACACAGAAGATGATGCAATTAGAATATAATTTACTCACTTGCTTTGTACCACATTACATACATAATAGTTTCCATTAACAATGCAAATACTACCACCATTAGTATGATTCCCAAAACAAATTTAAAACATTTTTTGCATATCATTTTCCAATTTTATTGTATCTGCAGTCAGAACATATAGCCATTATGTAGTGTCTGTTCCTTCCAAACCACACTTAATTCTATAAGTAAATGTTTATATATTGTTTTCAAGTCATTAGATTAATCTTGTCTGATCATTTTGCTTGTCTGAAACTTGTTCTCTAGTACATTTCTTAGGAATATTAATAATATTGCTTGAATTCGTGCATGTTGATGACATTTGTGTCTTTTATACTTGAAGCTCTGTTTAGCTAGATATTGGCTCACATTTTCATTTCTTAAGTATCTTAGATATATTACTCCACTTTTTTCTGGCATAAACTGTTACTGTCAAAAAGTCTGATCAGACAATCTGATTTTCTTTCCCTTAAAAGTGCCTTGTTGTTTTTGTCTAATTTTACTAGAATATGTCAGGGTAATGATCATTTTTGGTCAGTTTTCTCAGGTACATACATGGTAAATATTTTCAATATGTAGAATGAAATTTTTTTTAGGTCTTCTTGAATTACAGTTTTAGTCTTAGCTCTGTTCCTTTGCTGTGGTTTTCTTCCTCATGGATGACTATGGTGTGTATATATATATATATATTTTTTTTTTTTTAAGATTTTTATTGGGGAGTTGGGGGGATGGGAATGGGAACAGTGCTGGGGAATTGGGGGAAGGGGAACAGAGAAGTTGCTGTTGTTTTTGTTCTTCAGTCTAGTTGTGGAGGATGTTGCTTCACTGGCCCAAGTTGGCACCATCATTGAGCTCTTCTCTGGCAAGGTAGATCAGCTGCTGGTTTCTGGATGGCCGCTCACTGCGGCTGCTGGCCGCTCACGCTGGCTGCTGGCTACACACGGTAGCCCATGGCAACCCACTGCCACAGGGGCTGCGGCCTACGCCGTCGCCGGCGACCCATGGCAGCCCAGCTCCAAGTTGAGCTGTTGTTCAGCATCTTAGCTGTGGAGGGCAGTGTCACTGGCCCTCATATGTGGGATCCGAACCGGGGCCCTCTGGCGTCCCAAGCCAGCTCTTAACCAATGTGCCACTCGGCCGGCCCTAAGGTATAGATTTTGGATCTCTCGACCTGGCTTCTAAATTTGTCAGTTTCTCTCACATCCTTTGTCTCTTGCCTCCTCCTTCTCTCTCTTCTTCCTTTCTGCCTGCCTTCCTGCCCACCTAACTTCCTTCCTTCCTCTCTCCCTCTTCCTTTTAAATTAAGATTTATTTTCTAAAGCAGTTTTAAGTTTAAAGAAAAATTGAGCAGAAAATACAGATTTCCCATATCCTCCTCCACCTGCCCTGGTTTACCCCATTAACATCTTGCATTGGTGTGGTACATTCATTACAATTAGCAAGCCAATATTGATAAACCATTATTAACTGAAGTCCATAGTTTACATTAGAGTTCACTCTTGCATTATTCAGTTCTATGGGTTTGCCAAATGTATAATGTCATATTCCGCCATTAGAGTATCAATACAGAATAGTTTCACTGTACTAAAGATCCCATGCTCTTCCGTATCCATCCTCTCCTCCTTCCCCTCGCAACTCCTGGCAACCGCTGATCTTTTTACTGTCTCTATAGTGTGCTTTTTCCAGTACGCACATAGTCATACAGTATGCAGCTTTTCCAGGCTAGCTTCTTTTTCTTAGTAATGGCTTGATAGCTCATTTCTTATTGCTGAATAATAATCCATTGTATGGATGCACCAGTTTGTCTGTCCATTCACCTACTGAAGGATATCTTGGTTGCTTCCAATTTTAGGCAGTTACCAAAAGAGCTGCTGTATAAACATTTGTGTGCAGTTCATTATGCGGACATAAATTTTTAAATCAGTTGGGTAAATAACTAGGAGCCTGATTGCTGGATCATATAATATGTTTAGTTTTCTAAGAAACCACTAAGCTGTTTTCCAAAGTTTTTGCATCCCACTAGCAATGAATGAGAGTTCCTGCTGCTCCATGTCCTTGATAGCAGTGCTGTAGTGTTTTGGATTTTGGCCAGTCTAATAAGTATGTAATGATATCTCATATGAATTTGTAATTCCCTAATGATGTATTGAGCGTGTTTTCATATGCTTATTTGCAATCTGTGTATCTATAGTGAGCTGTTTGTGCAGACTTCTCCCCTTTTTAAAATTGGGTTGTTTTCTTACTGTTGAGTTTTAAGAGATCTTTGTATATTGCAAATAAGTTCCTTATCATTTAAGTGTTTTGTAGATATTTGCTCCCAGTCTGTGGCTTGTCTTGTCATGTCATCTTTATTTCTTTTTGATTTTTAAAATGTTCCCCTTTTCATCTTCTGTTTCTGTTAAGAATAATTTATTGTTTTTTGTTTTTGCATTCCTTTTAGTTTTGTCTTCATTTCAGAAATTATTTTTATTTCTAATTCTTTACTGAGCTCTATTAATTTTTGAGGTTTTCTAATCTTTATGGTATTTGTTTAAATCTTGTATGATTTTAATTTCTTTTAGCTCACTTGAAAATAGTATTTTATCTTTTTTGTAGACATCTTTCTGATACTTTTATTATCTGTAACGATGTTGTTCTTTTTTCTCATAATTTTTATGGAGCTAGAGCTCAATACCTTTCTTTGCTCATTTTTATATGAATTTAAGTTTTTCTGAATTTGTAGAAGCGAGTGTGGTTTGGGTTAGCTTTTTAAACTTCAGGTTCTGGAATTCCTTTTTCTGTTGTTTTTGGATAATGTTAAAAGCCATAGGAGCGTACTTTCTGAGATGCCTGCTATTTCCTTCTCCACTTGTTTCTAGATCTCTTTCCTTTACTCTGGTGTTCCTGGGCTGCTAAATTTGGAGTCTCTTCCCAGAAGTTTCTTCTCAGTGTGGGATTTTGTACTGGAATGTTGGGAGGGCCAATTTGTGAATAGCACCTGACACTGGAAGGGGTTTTACACATTTTAACAGTGGATGGAGGAGTGTGAAGAGGTCTAAAAGGGCTAAAGCAGTCTGGGCCCCATTATATAACTTGCTAAATTTTATATTGAGATGTTAAAACAAAAGGAGGCCAAAAAAAGCTCTTAATAACAAAAACAGTACAATGTGCTGAGAGGCCATATTCTGTACCAGACACTGTGCTAGGCATTTTACATAAATTATTTCTAATCCTTATAACAGCCTTCAAGAAAAGTGGTATCATCTTCATTTTACCCATGAGGAAATTGTGGCTAATTGAGGCTCAGAGTGGTGGTAACTTGCCAAAGGGCATGCTAATAAATCATGAAGCTGGGATTTGAACCCAGGGCTCTCTGACCTCAAAGATCCTGTACTTTATTTTTCTTTTGGATGCACCCTCCTTTAAAGATTGTGCTTCAGTGTTTATTTTGTTTAAAAAGTCTTCATCAGTTTCTACTGGGACCATGATTTTCTCTTAAAAGAGCATTTTGTTTCATTTTGATTTTGCCTGTGAACAAATAGTTTCTTCAAATTTAGACTTGCAAAGCTATGAAAAGTTAATGGACTTGTAGAAATCCAGTGTATCAAACTTTTCCTAAAATAATAACTATAAAGAGTTAGCTTTATCTTTAAATGGTAGATTATAATTTTTTTAATTTGTTACTTTTACAGAAAAAGACACAATGGATGTATGGTGCAATGGTAAGAAAATGGAGACAGCAGTAAGTCTACCTTTTTTTGATTACTCTAAGCACCATGTGTATAAGTTACTGTTGAAACGTTGCTACATTTCTTTTTTTTTTTTTAAGATTTTTTTTAATTGGGGAGTTGGGGGAGGGGAACAGAGCTGGGAAATCGGAGGGGGGGGGACAGACAAGTTGCTGTCATTTTATTCTTCAGTCTAGTTGTGGAGGACGTTGCTTCACTGGCCCAAGTTGGCACCATCCTAGCTGTGGAGGGCAGTGTCACTGGCCCTCATATGTGGGATCCGAACCGGGGCCCTCTGGCATCCCAAGCCAGTTCTTAACCAACGCGCCCCTCGACCAGCCCGCTACATTTCTTAATTATGGAGATTTTATAATTAACCAATGTCCTCTTGGTTGAAAATAAAAAGATGAATTCCTCCAGTCTCCAAAATGAACAGTGCCTGTGGCAGTAAGAATTTAGAAACAGTTTACATTGTGAGCTTGCACCAACCTCACGCTCTACCTTTCTTTCCCTGGAACAGCCTCTGTCCTCCAAAGAGATCCCCCATTAAAAACTTCCTCCCCCAAAATTGTGTCTCCTGTGTTTCTCCATGTTAAAATGGTGCATTATGCCACTGCTTCTCAAATTTGCATGCATAGAAATCACCTGGGATCTTGTTAAGATGTAAATTCTTACACTTCCTCACGTGATGCCAATGTTGCTGGTCAACAGGTAACATTTTGAATGAGGCTTTACACCATACACTCAAAGCAGATGGTACTTTTCTAAAAGCGAAGTTTTTGAACAAGAAGTGATGCACACAATGTCAGATGATGACAGAAAGGCAGACAGGAAAGGGCCCTGTCACAAACCCCAAAAGACAAGTGGCATTTGTACATAGCAGTGCTAAGAAGCTACCCACTCATTGTGGCCAGGCACGATGAAGTCCCCATCTAAATCCCAATGTGTTTGGCCTTTGCTATCAGCTGCTTGCCCTGATAATGCTGTGGGTGGGATGAATGTAGAAGTGAATTTCAAGAGGGAATGAAATAACAGTGGCGCAGTGTACTCAGCATGGGAAGTGGAAGCAAAGGAGACTATGGTGGGAAATGGAGTGTGGGAGTAGGAGCTGAAATCATTGGGTGGCAATTCCCATGTGTTACGGGGTCTGCTGGCAAGCCAGGGGTACTATCCTTGGATCCAGCTTTCATGCTGGCTTCAGGTGAACACTAGAGCTAGAGAGAAGCAGCTCTCTTCTCTAGTCACAGTTTAGCTAGTTGCACAATTGTAGTTGCTGCCATTAGCTCCTTTATCTATTATAGGTATAGAAAGGTGAGAAGAGGTGCTTGGCCTGGGATGAATTTATTCAGCAGACTACCTAGAACCTGCTGGGTCTTACAGCTGTCTGCTTCTGAGGAAGTGCCAAAGCCAGAAATCCCAAGTTACAAAGATGAATGCTTTTGTTTCTTAACCCTGTTATTAATTCTTGAAGGGAAATTAAATCAGGATTCACTCAAAATTGATCCTCTGAGCTAGAGAGCCTACTGCTAGAGATTTCTTTTACGCAGAGAGGTTTGGAGAGCTCTTCAGTATTTTATGGCCCCTTTTGGTACAGCTTCAGTTACCATTAACATGGACTGGGTACCTACTGTGTGCCCAGCGCCACACCTGGTGGTCCTTCGTGTTCTTGCTTTCTTCCCACCCTGGAATTCTCTAGCTGGAGAATGAGCAGTTTTGAATCACATTCCTTCCCACCCTCAAAGATTCTCCAGTGCAAATGTAGAGAATGTTGTTTTATGGTATCAAGAATGTGGTTGTAGATAAGAAGTTGAAAATAATGTTCACCCTCAATATCTTTGTCACTCAGTAATTGACAGGAAACCAACCACAAGGATGTGAACAATAGCTCCTCATAACCCAGTTGCCTCCTCACTGTAACTACAGCCTGGTTTGCAGGGCAATTTTGGCAGCTCTGCATCTGGGCAGCTTCCCTAGTATATGCACACCTGCTCTTGCTGCCTGTGAGCTACAGCGCATTTTTCTCCTTTTTCTTTTTATCTCAAAGCATCATGACCAAGATTATGTCTGTCAAATTGCTAAGAAGCTACCTCCAGAGATTGTGTTACTCAACCGCTGTCCTGCCCTCTAAATTGATCTTTACAGAAGTATGACTGAAAGGCATTTTTCAAAGTTCACTGTAAGAGGGTGAAATGAACAAACTGCACTCCAGGACCAGACCAGACGCAGTCCTTGTGCTGGTATTCATTACACTTTCCAAAAAAGAGCTATTGGCCCAATTCTCCTCATAGCTAGGCAACACTTCTCTCCCTGATGCATGCTGTGCTTTCTTTGGTTAGATGTTGGCTACAGGACTTTACCCCGTCTGCTTTGGCCCAGGAAGCTCACAGCCAAGTTTTAAGTCTGACTGTGGTTTCTTTGCTTTCTGGCACAATTCCGTTTTTTCCTCTAAGCCTCATCTTTTTCCTTCCTTCTTTGTACTACTTGGCCCCTATATTTTTACTCCAGATCAGTGCTCTTCAATATGTAAGTCACAGATATGAGCTTCAAATGTAACTTTTCTAGTAACCATATTTTAAAAGTTTTAAGGTGAAATTCATTTTATATTTGATTTAATCTATCAAAAATAGTATCATTTAATATGTAGTCAACATAGAAAGTTTTTAGTGAGTTATGTATTTTACATTCTTTGTTTCACACTAAGTCTTCCAAATCCAGTGCATATTTTACACTTAAACAGAGTATCTCATGTCAGACTCACCATGTTTCAAGTGCTCAATTGCTGCATATGACTAGTGGCTACTGTACTGGACAGAGCAAGTCCAGATTTAGTAGTGCTTGATTTTGTTATCTGTGTATTTTATTGTAAGCCACCAAACACCCTGAGGAATGAGATTTTCAGAGTGATTAAGAACACCATTTCTTACTGACTAGGACCTTCAACAGGTTATTTAACCACTCTGTGCCTCAATTTCCTCATCTATAAAAGGAGGATAATAGTACTTCTATCAGGGTTATTGTGAGGACGCAATGAAATAATGCATGTAAACTGTTCTTTGTGTACAATAAATGTTTGCTATCATGTTTATCAACTTTACTTTTGAAATTATTCTGTGTCTACCTAGTATATGGTACAGACACATAGCCATTAGGTGTATGTTTTCTTTCCCTCTGAAACTTAAGATACTTTGTAGAGCGTACAAACAAGAAACTTTCAATTCATAGCAGAATGTAAAAACATTTAAATATAAGCTTCTAGCTAATTTTGCAAAGCTTAACATTTAACTAAAATGTACTTCATTATACCACCCTTTTAGATGGTGTTAATGCTTAGACAAAGATAAATGCTTCTGAACACTAACTCCTCCTCCTTTTGTTGGCAGGGTGAGTTTGTAGATGATGGGACTGAAACTCACTTCAATGTTGGGAACCATGACTGTTACATAAAGGCTGTCAGTAGTGGAAAGAGGAAAGAAGGAATTATTCATACTCTCATTGTGGATAATAGAGAAATTCCAGAGATTCTTGAATGACTTCATGTTGATGAACATTAAGAAGTAACGATCAGGACTTTTAAATTACTGTGCTAATTAAATATGTTCAATATGTACTTCTTGATACATTTAATCTGCCATCTTTTTATTTTTTTAGTTACTTGAAACTGTAATGTTCCAAGGGTCAGAGGAAAAAAAAGAATTTTGTACAACTTAAAAAGCCTGCAATTTATTTTGTAAATACTGTAAAAATGTTTTAAAGCCAAATAGAAAATAAGATGTGGACCAAAATCACTAATGTTTTACAACAACTTTTACTATAATAAACACTCTGAGATAAAATTGGTGCTGCATGATTTGTTTCTAAAATGATGTCTTCATATGTTTCTAACCTGTGGGGATAGGTTGTCTCTCTCACTTAAAGCAGTTGGTACATGATGATATTAGTTTAAATGGAGAAAATGAGATATTTTCTATCTGGGAACTTAATATTAAGGTATTGTCAAATAGTGTCACATATATTCCAGTACTGATCTTTTGACTGTACCCTTTCCCTTAGAGCAGTACAAAATGTACAACAGATGAACAAGTGCCCGTCATCCCTTCAATGTAACACACTATCTGCTTCCTCTAATGAGCTCTCAGTGCTGGTACTGCATACCACTATATCCCCCAGCACCCAGCATGCCCCTCACAAATGGTAGACAGTGACATTCATGTTACTGAAGCTCAAAGGAGAAGTCTGGGCTGGAAATATATATGTGACATCATCAGCATATACAGGCATAGTACAGAGATATTGTGGGTTTGGTTCCAGACCACTGTAATAGAGCAAATATTGCAAAAGAAAGTGAGTCACATGAATTTTTTTCGTTTCCCAGTACATATAAAAGTTGTTTATACTGTAGCCTATTAAGTGTGAAATAGCATTACGTCTAAAAAAACAATGTACATACCTTAATTTAAAAATACTTTATTGCTAAAAAATGCTAACCTTCATCTGAGCCTGTTGGAAAAATGGGGCCAATAAACTTGCTCAATGCAGGGTTGCCACAAAACTTCAATTTGTAAAAAACGAATGTCTGTCTGCGAAGCACAATAAAACGAAATATGCCTGTAGATGAGATTTACAGCAGTGGGAATGGATCACATCAACTAGAGAGCTCATAGAGAAAAAAAAGAGAGGAAGCCTAAAATTAAACCCTGAAGGGCTATAGCATTTGAGACTGGCTAAGGGCAAGAGAGATCTTCATTAAATGAGGAAACCTTGAAGCTATAAAACAAAAAAAGAGACATATTTGATTATCTAGAAATTTAAAAGTTGTATGGTGAGAGACACCATAAATAAAGCCAATATACAAACAGTATTTTTGGAGAAAATGTAATGTGGATGACAAGAGTCATGAATACATAAATATGCAGGCAAATGCGACAGGACAACATGAATGGGTATAAAGAAATAACCAAAATAGAAACAGACCCACAGGCGCTGCAGATGCTTCATATAATTATGTTTAAAATGTTCAAGGTAGGGGGCGGCTGGCTAGCTCAGGTGGTTAGAGTGCAGGCTCATAACACCAAGGTTGCCAGTTCGATTCCCACATGGGCCAAGGAGCTGCGCCCCCCCCCCCACAACTAGATTGAAACAACTACTTTTCTTGGATGGGTCCTAGAAAAACACACTGTTCCCCAATAAAATTTCTTAAAAAAAAAATGTTCAAGGTAATAAAAGATGTCTGTAGAGTGTGAGCTCTGAGCAACAGCGGTTCAAGTCCCGGCCCAAGCTGAGCTGCTGCTGAGCTGCCAACAGGTGGCAGGATGGCTAAATAAATAAATAAATAAATGTCTGAGGATTTTAGAGGGAACAGGGGAATTGAAAAGAAAGAGCAGAATTAAAAAATAAAAGTTGATATAACTATATTAGTATTAGTTAAAGTAGACTTTTAGGCAAAAAGCATTACCAGAAATATAGAGAACACTTTAAAATAATTTTTTAAATGATTCAATTCACCAGGGATATAAATCAATTCTAAATTTGTATGCACCTAATAATACTGCCTTAAACTCTATAAAGTAAAAATTGACATAACTAGAATACACAAATCCAAAACCATAGTGGGATATTTTAACTTAACTCTCTCATAAATGCTTAGGCAAAAACTCAGTAAAGACATGTAAACTTAACACAATAAGCAGAATTATTCTAATGAACATATGTAGGACACTTAATCTCATAATTGCAGAATATCGATATTTTTCACATCCACACTGAACATTTATAATACTTGACCATATTGTGGGCCATAAAAACAAGTCCCACAAATTTGAAAGAACTGAAAACATTTAGAATATCTCTTGAATGTCATTCAATCCATCTAGAAATCAACAAAATGGTAATGAGAAAACCCATGAATATTTGGAAATTAATAAGTATACTTTTAAATAACCAGTAGGTCATGAAGAAACTAAAATAGAAACCAGAAAATATTTGTACTGAATGGTAATGAAAACTTCATATCAAAACTTGTGGGGTGCAGATAACTATTGTTATTAAGAGCTAAAATCGATAAGCAACCATCTTATAAAATTGGAAGGGAGGAATAACAGCAAATACAAATAAAGTAGAAGGAAAGAAATAATAAAGATAAAAGAGTAGAAAACATACAAGGAGGATCAAAAAAGCCAAAAGCTGATTCTTTGTAAAGACCAATGCAATTGAAAAACCTCTAGTGAGACTAATTAAGAAAATAAAGAATGAAAAAGAGAACATCACTATCAACACTGCAACATTAATAAACTCTTAACACATGAATTATTTGTAAAAATAAATTTGAAAATGTTGAAATGGACACATTCCTAGAAAATTACAACAAACACAAGAAGATATAAAAATCTGAATATTCCTCCAACTATTAAATTAAATCCATACCTCAAAGAAAACATCAGACATAAGGTCATTGGCAAAGTTCTATCAAACTTTTAAGTAAGAAATAATGCCAATCTTATGAGGTCACAAAAACCTTGATAACAAAACCTAATACAGACCTTAAAAGAAACGTATGGGCCAATCCCACTGATGAAAATAGATGCAAAAATCCCAAATGAAATGTTGGCAATCAAATCCAACAATATATAAAAAAGACAATACATCACAATCAAGTTGTTCATTCCAGGAATGTAAACTTGGTTTAGTATCTGCACATCAATCAATATAACTCACTAAATGAGAAAAAACATATGATCGTCCTAGTAAAATAAAAATCAATAACATTTGATAAAATTCAGCATCCTTTCATAATTGTTTTAAACTTAATATTACCAATTTATTATATATGATGTTATAAAGGTTACAAATGAACATACTGATGAAGAGGTCTATAGATCAAGGTCTGGATGGGTCCCGAGCGCAGCTTTTGTTCCCTGTGGAGTCGGACTCACCAACACAGAAGCTCCCTTTCACAATTTTTAATGAAAAAAAAATCCCTTAGGAATTGAAACGTGCTTCCTTAATAAGAGATCCATATTCCAGGGCGAACACCATACTTAATATTGAAAAATTTTCCTTTGAAATCAGTAAAAGGTTGAATATTGTTCCTATTCAATGTTATATTGGAATTCCTAATCAGTGCAGAAGGGCAAGAAAAAGAAAATGTTGAAGGGAATAGAAAGGAAGAAATAAAGCTACAATTATTTGTAGATGATATATGCAAACAGAGTAATTTCTAAAGTTAGGATTAATAAGAACGTTTAAGTCTGCTAAATATGTCAATCTATTGATTGCTCTGAAACTTTAAAAGTTTATTAAAACACACGTGTTGGATTCCATCTCCAGAGTTTCTGATTCAGTAGGTCTGCGGTGGGGCTCACGCATTTGTACTTCTAATTCGTTCCCAAGTGATGCTAATGCTCTTAGTCAAGGGACCACACTTCAAAAACTACTATTACATGATAGCAGCAATGAAACTTACAATCAAATACGCAGGACTCTAACAAAAGATACACAAGACTATACATAGAAAACTATAAATCATTGTGGATATAAATTAAAGAGAATCTAAATAAAGGATACTCCATTGTCATAGACTGAAAGAGTCAATATTCTGAAGATGTCCATTTGCCACAACCTAATCTATAATTTAATGCAATCCCATTCAAAATGTCTATGTTTCTTTTTTGTGGATCTGAAATGTATACGGAGGCATCATCTATAATTGTGAGAAAAGACCATTGACACTTAAGACAGGCTCCCTGAGTTTGAATACTGGCTCCTACTTTGTGACTCTGGACAATTTAACCTTCTATGTCTCAGTTTTCTCATCTGTTAAGTGGGGAAGAACAACTGTAAGATTGTTATAAGTATTAAATATAGTTTAGATGCATGCCTAGCACGCAATAAGTGGTACATATAAGTTTGATACGTAAAATAAGATAAAATAAAAATAGGGAGACGAGTCTATTGGATATCTTCTAGAGTCCAGAAGCACTCATACATATATGCACACTTGGTTTATGACAAAGGTGGATCTATACAACAGTGATGAAGGATTATTTTTCCAATAAAAGATACTGGGACAACTCGGTGCCCATATGGGAAAAAACAAAATTTGACTCCCACTTCACACTATATATAAAAAGCAATTCCAGGTAGATTGTAGATCTAAATGGAAGAGGTAAAATAATAATAAGGCTTTTAGGATAACCCAGGAGAATATCTTCAGGACCTGGGGGTAGGGAAAGATTTCTTAAATACTGCACAAGAAATATTAACCGTAAAGGAAAATAATGACACATTTGACATTAAAATTAAGATCTTGTTAGAAGAAACCATTGAGAATGAGAAAGTCAAACAATGAGTAGAAAAGATATTATCAACACATATGACTGACAAAGGGCTTGTATGCATAATATGTAATGTCACATAACAAAAAGCAAAATAAAAAAGTCCTCAAAATAAAAAAAATGAAAAAAACAAGCAAAAAATCAAAGTGACAGGTAACCAAGTAAATAAATGGACAAAGGGCTTAAGCAGGCATTTCACAAAGGAGAAAATCCAAATGACTGATGTTTAGATCCTACCTGGATCCCTGAGAAGAGGTGCACCCTGCTGGAGCTGAGGAAGGGGAAGAGGCAGGAGGAAAGAAACAAATGGTGAGCCTCTGAATGCCCACAAATTCTGCTTTTTCTCACCCCCCAGGCCTTTACATATGCCCATCTCCCCTTCACCCAGCTCCTACCTGTCCCTGAAGACTCGGCTCAGATGCCTTCTTCTCCCAGAAACGCCAGCCGGTGCTCCCCTCCTAAAAGCTGCCCATCCGCAACAGTCAAGGTCACATGGCATGGTACCTCTCTGCTCTCCACCCCATAGACCAATCTTCTACCTTCTGCAGAAATGTGACCCCGGCATTACAGGCTGCCTGGCTGAGGTCTGGCACTGACAGGGCTATGGACTGGACAAGGCAGAACTAAAAATGCGCCGGAGCGGCCTCCCCAGATAGGAGACAAGAGAAAGAGGTCTGGAAGGACTTTCCTTCCCTGAGATTCCCCCGCTTCAGTGGCCTTCAAGTAGGGGAAGCCGGGAAAGAAACGAGTTTGCCTCTGAGTTGGGACTCAGCACATTCCCTCCCCTTCAGTCTTTTTTTTTTTTAAAGATTTCTTTTTTTATTGGGGAATTGAGGGTGGGGTACAGCACTGGGAAATCAGGGGAAGGGGAACAAACAAGTTGCTGTCCTTTCGTTTGTCAGTCTAGTTGTGGAGGATGTTGCTTCACTGGCGGCCCATGTTGGTATTATCATTGCGCTCTTCCCGGGCGAGGCAGATCAGTCGCTGGCCTCTGGATGGCCGCTCAGGGCGGCTCTTGGCAGCTCACATCGGCTGCCAGCCATACACGGTAGCTTATGGCAGCCCACTGCAGCAGGGGCTGCAGCCTACACCATCGCAGGTGGCTCACGGCAGCCCAGCTCCAGGTCACCAGCTGTTGTTCACCATCTTAGCTGTAGAGGGCGCAGTGTCACTGGCCTTCATGTGGGATCCGAACCGGGGCCCTGCTGTTCAGAGCTGGCGTCCCAAGCCAGCTCTTAACCAACGCGCCACTCGGCCGGCCCCCCTCCCATTCAGTCTTAACCTAGCCTCTCCACACTCCATAGATGTGAGTGGGGCAGTTATTATCAGTCCAATTTTACAAACTAGGAAGCTCAGACCCAGAGAAATAGTAAAATAAATACATTACTCGGGGTCACAGAGGCAGAGCTGGATAGCAAGTACTGGCCTCTGCAGCTCAGGGTCTGCCTCTAGACATAAGGTGAACACTCAGACATTACTTGTTCAATGAGAAGTCATCCTATGTGTTCCCAGACTCGCGTAGGCACAGACGCTGTTCTCAAGTATGGAAACGTGCAGGGTTTCCAAAATTTTTGTTTTGGGAAAACTTGTGAAAGTACCAAAAGAGAGGGAACGAAGTGTTTTGGGGTAAGATTCATGTTGACCAGGGCACTTAACAGCCCCAGGCAAGCAGCTCTTCCTGCAGTGCAGACCCCAGCCATCCCAGAGGCAGGATGTCCTCTGCTTTTGCCTCCTCCTCTCTGGCTCAGCCAGAGCAGGAGAATCGGACAAGCAATTCAGCAAGTATGTACGAAGCACCTGCCAGTGGTGCTCAGCAGCTACTCAGGGCTGTTGTGCCACAGCATGCTGGCATCTTAGGGGTCTACAGTTGTGGGGGTATGAGAAGAGCCATCCTGGACTCAGGTCCAACACTGTCTGGGGAGGTTCATTTCCCTTTCTTGCTCTTAAAGATGCTCACATTCACTGACTTGGCATATATTTACCAAGGTCCCCTATGGGGTGAGGAGATCTCTCTGAAAATAGTGGTACCTATTTCTGGCTGGCAATTCACCATTCTCCAAACCCCTGACCTGCAACCTGGAACTCTCACTGAGTCTAGATCAGACCTGGGAATGTCAAGTTCAGGGTCAACCCCCATCCTCGGCTGAGTTATTTCCAAGAAACTGACCTGCTCTGAGCAACTGCCCCATGGAAGACAGTGCCAAAGCGGTATAGTCTGGCCTTGGCTTAGCTACTGAGTAACTGAAGAAGCAATCTCCCAGACGTTACGGTACCTCCCAAAGGTATGGAAATTTGATGAGGGTACCCTCTTGCCTCAGGCTCCAACCAAAGTCTAAGGGGCCTCCCATACTGTCTGATGGGACTGAAAGGCAAGGAGACAAGTCAGGGAAGAGATCATGTGTCTCACAATTACTGAGGTTGGCTTGTCTTGACTTGGCCATGTCTTAAGAGTCCCAGTGCCAAGATCCAAAGGCCTGTGCTGCCCATAAAGAAGAGGCCCACACATCCCAAAAGCAGCCAAAACCAGCTCACCCATTTATTTGACTGAGAACATGAAGGAGAACAACAAAATTAAACAATTTTTAATAAAATTCCTATAGAAAACTCAGTCACCGGGCAAATACTCAGTTCTCTTTCCCACGTCATTGAGGATTGAGAGCTCCCAATAGTCTTTGGAGAATAAGCAGTAGTTTTGCTGGATGTTGCCAGTACTCAGAAAGAGCATCCATTTACACATTCAAACCAGTAGCTCCTATTGCACATATTAACATCATTTGCCATCTAGCACCCTAAATATATGGTACCTCAACAAATAAATTAAAAAGTTCCATGAGGCATGAAATCATTTCCACTTGAACTAATATCCTTGAAAAATCACATTATACAAGTTTTAATAAATACAGTAAGGACAGCTGGCATTTTACTAAAATACTGAATTTTAGGTCTTGAGTTTATTCCATAAATAGTTTCCTTTTCTCTTGCTTTCTGTCTTGGGTACATTTGCTCAAGTATTATGCTCTATGAAGTGAACTCTTTCATAGATACCATGTAAAAACTGTATTAATATGTGCTTCATTACAGAAGCAGCTGGAAGAACTGGATCACATACAGTTAACTAAAAACTTAGGAAAATGCTCTGCTTTTTGTAAAACACAGGCTGAAGAAAACCAAACAAACATCGTTTTATACAGAACTCCCACTAGAAATTTTATAAATATATATGCAGCATATATGTTATATTTGCCTCACCAGTAGATTTTTAGCAAGTCTGGCTGGGATGATGCTATCATGAAAGATAAATATAACAAAAGAATTAATGGTTCCACAGGTTTAAAAGATTTCTTTTGAAAAATAATCATAATTTCAAATTATATTATAATTTGTAGTTTATACAATTTAAAAAAGGAAGAAAGATACCTTTCTTTTAAGCCTCATTTGGAAATTAAGAACAGCCACCAGTCCCCAGGTGTGGATAAGATGGCTGATTGATAACACTTGGTCACAATTCAAAAAAGAAGTATTTACACCTTTCCAGAAAAGTACCAAATACTTAAAATTAAAAAAAGCAGACAGACAAAAAACAATCTCTAGTAGTATTCCTTGGCGTGCAAAGTCAGCAGGAAATGATTATCCATAATGTTGACAGTTTTCATGATGAATCTTGGAAGCATTCAAAAAGCAAGAGGGTGGACATTAGGGATTGTTCAGATTAGGTTCTGTGGGATGCCTTGTTCTTAATTTAACTGAGATTCAGAATTTCATTCCCTTTATAACATCTCTGGCAGGGTCACATTCAATTTAGTGCAAGTGCAAAATGAAAACTAAACGAAACCAACAAATACGTTAGGAGCAAAGGCTGATCATTAAGATCTGTAGTCTTTCCGAACTGTGTGGGCCATCCAGTTCACTTTAGTAGTCCAGCTTTCCCTGAGTGCCTCATCAAATTTTTGCTTAAATTGCTTGAGTGCTTCTTCTTCACTCTTCCCTAAGGCAAGAGAGTCCTAAAAATGAAGAAAAAAAAAATCTGATTTTATACATCCTCCAAAGTGATGTGCAAATGTCAAAATCTGAAGGAGGCTTGTTTGGCTACACTGCCACAGCCACCATCAAGTAGTGTGCCTCATGTTTTTATTTAAATGCCATTCGCAGGAAGGAAAATGAACACCAAGGTAGGGTGACAATATGACCTCTGCCAAAGGGTTTTTGAAGATGAAATGAATTTATGATTACTGCAAGACAACTACTTAGCTGCTTGCCGCTACACTCCTATGTAAGAACTGTCTCACAGAAAAAGACTTTGTTCCATGACCTCTGAACATCGGAATGAAATAGGCAGGTATAGTTAATCTCCAATATACAGAGAAAGGGGTTTGTACCTTAAGATACTGTATATCTTTGACTGATGTAAGCTCAGGAAGCCCTGCGGTCAACATCAGTGCAAAGAGAGTGATGAAGAGATTCCCATGCCGTCGTAAAATCAGATACGCGTCCTCACAACACTGCCGGAACCTTTAGTTGATGCAGCAAATCACAAGAGCATGATGTTAGAGGGGAGACAGCAAATTTCATAAAGGACAACGGGAGAGATATATCTAGACTTTCCGTAAGAGCTGGAAAATTTCTACTGAACTTAAAGGTTCATTTCTGATTTTTCCTTCTCTGAAAATTGTCTCAGGACTAAAATTTACATAAAATAAATCAAGCTCTCTAAAAACACACGTATCTTTTTCATAAACAAAACTAAATAGATATTCTATGATAAAAGGCAATATAACACTTAATTTAGGCTTTTAAATTCTATGAGGCAAAAATATTGTTGTAAATAAAGTATTAATTATAATCCATGAGGATTTTTGAACATACTTCTAGACTCCAGATAGGTAGTCTGACTTCAGGGACTAATTTCTTTAATGTCCCCTAAATCTGTTATCAATGTTTTTGCATTGCACCTCCCTTTCATCTTGCTGTCCTCTCTTCTCTTCTAGATGGTCATTCAAGAGGACCAGCCAATCCTATCTCAACACTGTGAAGAAAAAAATGCACCCAGAGGTATAATATTTGGCAGAAACCCAGGCAGAACTAGAAATGATAATAGCAATTATTTGGTAAAGCTATAATATGAGTTCATCACATCATGTAACCTATCTCTATCATAATAATCCTGAAATTTAATTATTTTGTCCCCATTTTAGATAAGAAACAAAGACAGGAAGACAGTAATGTGCTTGGAAACATACAAGGAGCAAGGAATAGATCAGAAATTACCAGTGTCTGTCCCAGAAGCCTGGCTCCCTTCCTGTAACTCTACAATGAATGACAGCAAAATGCCTGTTCTCAGCATCTCACTATCAAATGTCTTAGTTTCAGAGAATTTTCTAAGACAGGTAAAAAGTGGTATACTATTGGAATAAAACTAACTTATTTCACATTTCCAGCACTGTTTCTCTTCTCTGAGTATATCTGAACTACAACATGGATCTGACGGGCAAATTCCGGCAAAGCCCCATTAGCAGATTGAGTATCTCCCAGACCTATATATACCTCAGCAAAGAAATGTTAGTCCAGCTAGCCAGATGAGAAAACGTGAGATGTGTTTACCCTTGACATAAGGGCAATACTCACCGGCCAAACTTTTCTGTGTTTCCTGTTTTTCCTTGTTGAATCACATGAATGAAATCATAGGTAAGAATGAAAGGCACTCGCTCCCTTTTAATGCCAAATTTAGACTTGAAATTTCCAAGAATGTGTCCAAAATCAATGTGGAAGAGCTGGAAAACAAATGGGATTCAATTTTCCTTGTTTTTCTGGTGGGTTCCAAATAGAAAGGAGAGATCTCAGCAGTCCTAAATCCCTCTGTGCTATATCGACCCTTATCTGAGCCCCTTTTTTCACAGCCTGCTGGGCCTCTTGGGAAGAATGCATGTCTAATATTCATAGATCTTTTATACTCAATAACAACTCTGATATTAAACTGCATATACCCAGTAGGGAAGGCGAACCTTTAAAAAGAAAAATGTGCTAACCCTAACCCTAACCTTAACCCAACCCTGTCCCTAACCCTAACCCTGTCCATAAACCTAACCCTCACCCTCACCCAGTCCCTTAAAAAAAAGTATTCAAATAATAAACATGTCTGATTAAAAAGTCAAATAGTTCTACATATAGAACTATTTATTTCTACGTCAACAGTTCTTCATATAGAAACATAACAAAAAGAGTATATTCTTGTCCCACCAACTCCCTCACCACCTTAAATGCTACCACTTAGAGGTAACCTTCTCCCCACTCTTTCACGTAAGTTCTCTGGTATCTGCCTCCATTTTTCTAATAGTATGTTTATACTTATTTTTTACTTCCTAACTTAGGATTATTATTATTATGGAAGGTAAAGATTTAGTACTCTGGTGCTCACGTAATACTACATAATGTGGCACAATATATCATAATTTCAGTTACATATATTCAATATTTATTATTGTTCAGATTACGTAAATACATTTCAAAGTTAGGCCATGTGGTAGTGGTATACTAGGACTACATTTCTTTTTTTGTTCACCTTTTTCCTTGACAAAAAAGTTTTTTTGGACTTAAGAGTTCTATGACCTTATTAATTCTTCCCAAAATCTTAAAAATCTAAAAATCATTTTCAAAATATTTTCCCACATGGTCAGGTAATCTATTAGTTCTATATGTGCTGGTTGTTCTCTAGGCCTGCTGTACAACCTCCATCTTGGACTCTCCCTTCAACTCTTGTCCTATTTGGAGTCCCTGTCTCCCGAGTCCCACATCACATTTTCTTTTGGTTTAGACCAGGGTTTCTCAATATTCGCATTACTGAAATTTTGGGCCTGATAATTCTTTGCTGTTCTGTTCTGTACACTGTAAGCTATTTAGCAGCATCCCTAGCCTCTACCCACTAGATGCCAACAGAACAGCCCCCTCCCCAGTTATGACAACCAGGAATGTCTTCAGACATTGACAAATGTCCCCTGAGGACAAAAGCACCTCAGTTCAGAACTACTGGTTTAGAACCTTGTTTTAGTGGATGTCCTTATCCTGGCAGCCTCCTTAGGAGAGATGCAGAGGATACAGCTTTTGAGATCATGTATGTTTGAAAATGTCTTTATTCCACCTTTATACCTGATTTATAGTTTATAGTTAGAATTCTAGGTTAGAATCATCTTCTCTCAGAATTATGAAGGCTAACTTCCACTGTCTTAAGTTTCCAATGTTGCTATTAAGAAGCCAAGTCTTTCTGACTACTGGGCCCTGGTGTAAGCCCTGGTGGGTCTCTGGGAAGATTTGAACACGGTCTCTTTATGTCTGATGCACTGAAATGTCATGGTGAAGGGTCTTAGGGAGGGTCTTTCCATTCACTATAAGGGAGCTCTTTTGACTGGATATTCATGAACATCAACTTCAGGAAATGTTTTTATATTATTTGCTTCCCTTCCTCTTCTGTTACTTCTTTCTGGAACTCCTCTATTAGGCTGATGGTAGGTAGACCTCCCAGGACTAATTCACCATCATTACTGGATCCTCTTTCTTGTATTTATCAGATATTTTGGTTCTTTTGGGAATGTTATGGGGCAATATAGAGCATCATGGCTAAAAAAGACAATCTGAGCCAATTACCAGGATTTAAATCCTTGTATATCCATTTTCTGTTGCCTCATATTTCTCACCTGTAAATGGGGGTAACACTACCACTTACTCTGCAAGGTTCTCATGAGGATTGAAGATGTTAACTAAAGAACTTAGAACTGTGCTTTCAACAAGTTAAGAGTTCAATAAATATTAGCTGATCTTTGGTTCATACCAATTCTATTTTAACATTTTGTTCCTCTTTTTAATTTCTAAGAATTCTGTTTTCTGATTTTTAAAAAACAGAATACTATTATTACTTAATAGATTCAATGTCTCCTTTGTTTTGATTTTTTTTTCAATCATCCTCTGTTTACTGCGGTTATTGTTTTTCCAGAGTTTTTTTATTCCCCATTTTGTTTTGGTCTCTTATTTTTCATGGTGGAGGCTTCCCTCAACTGTCTGCTAATTCTTGGCTGACCATTCGTATTTAAAAATGAGTCCCTGAAAAGCAAAATGAAAATTCTATGTACTAGTAGGATTGTTTATCGGTGGGCTTACTTGCAGAGTAACTAGGGAGAGCCCTCAATTGTTAGAATCTGTAGGTCTTTTCACTGGAAACAATCAGATTTTCTTGAGAAGAATCATCTAGTCTCTTGCTGAGAGTGGGAATATACACCTGGTTGCTAGAACTCTTGGAGCAAAGCAAGCAGAATTGGCTGGGGACCATACCATTTAGTATGCCATGAACTTTCACTTCATCGTCATTTTTATTTTATTATTATTATTTTTTTTTTTTAAGATTTTTATTGGGGAATTGGGGGGATGGGAACAGTGCAGGGGAATTGGGGAAAGGGGAACAGACAAGTTGCTGTCGTTTTGTTCTTCAGTCTAGTTGTGGAGGACGTTGCTTCACTGGCCCAAGTTGGCACCATCATTGCGCTCTTCTCTGGCGAGGCAGATCAGTCGCCGGCTTCTGGACGGCCGCTCACTGCGGCTGCTGGCCGCTCACGCTGGCTGCTGCCTACACACGGTAGCCCATGGCAATGCACTGCCACAGGGACTGCAGCCCACGCCGTCGCCGGCGACTCATGGCAGCCCAGCTCCAGGTTAAGCTGTTGTTCAGCATCTTAGCTGTGGAGGGCAGTGTCACCGGCCCTCATATGTGGGATCCGAACCAGGGCCCTCTGGCATCCCAAGCGAGTTCTTAACCATCGCGCCACTCAGCCGGCCCTCATCGTCATTTTTAATATGGTACCTTTTCCTCAGCTTCTGTAGAACTTGGTGCCCTTCAGTCAGAAGAATCTGTTTCTTCAGAGAATAACTCTATCTCCTTCTAGGGGTTGGGAAGGAGTCTTGAGCATCTAATGGCTTCATTTAGAAACTACCAACAATCCTGTTCTCAGCCTCTTCTCCCATCCCCACTTTCTGCAGTATCTTGTGCATCTCATTCCAGAGTTTTTCTCAGATTGACATACTCCTCTAAAGGTATGCAGTTTTCCATTTTCCTCAGTTATGCTAAGTCATTGCCACTTTTTCGTCATGCTTTCTATCAACCCCTAATCTATTGATGTTTTTCACCCACTGTGGCCTCTATTCCTCCTATCTTTGACTTCTTGGATTTACATATTTCTTATTCCTTAATATCATATTAGAAGGGTGTCAAGAAAGAATAAAGAAACCCTATGTGTTCAACCTGATTAACCAGAAGTCTGAAAGAATCCTTTTAAGTGTGAACACAAGGTTCAACTCTCAAAGCTCAAGCAAGAACTACCCAGATCTCCCAGGAGGTGTAAAACTCTGGGCCCCACCTAGAGCCAGAATTCACAGAGCGACCTACAGGTTTTCAACCTGGAATACTTCTAGTGGCAGAAAATTCCAAGAGTGGCTAAATTGATAAATTATTCCAAATATCTCATCTGTCTTTGATTAATATAAAAGAATTTACAAGCAAACATAAGCCACTCTGAAAAATAAAGTTTTTCATATGAAAACTAAGAGCTTCTTCATAAATAACCTGGTCTACCATCCTAGCTACCCCAAAATGATATTATATACTCCATTTCTCCCTAATTCCATATATTTTTACATATGATGTTCTAAGAGAGAAAAAAATGGCTCATTTTTTTTTAAAGAACTGGTTATCTTATTTAAAGCTAATACTTTAAATAAGTATTTATTTAAAATACTTAATCATCATGTTTTCCTTCTACTCTTAGGTACATATGTGTCCAATATACAATTTCTGTTTTTTAATGGCTTTTTATGAAAATATAGCTAATATACAATATTATGTTAGTTTAAGGTGTACACACCAGTTATTTAACGTTTATATACCTAAAGAAGTGAGTGATCACCACAGTTAAGTCCAGCAACCACCTGACATTGCATCACAGTATTGTTGACTATACTTCCTATGTTGTTCATTACATCCCCATGACTATTTCATAATTACCAATTTGTAGTTCTTATTCCTTCACTTTTTGCACTCTCTCCCCCATCAGCTTGTTCCCTGCATTTAGGAGTCTGTTTCTGTTTTATTTTGTTCCTTAGATTCTACATATAAATGAGATCATATGGTATTTGTCTTTCTGTCTTAGTTCCCTTAGCAGAATACCTTCCAGGTTCATCCTTGTTGTTACAAATGATAAGGTTTCATTCTTTTTTATGGCAGAGTAATGTTCCATTGTATATATGTACCACTTTTTCCAATTGTCTATTGATGGGCACTTAGGTTGCTTCCATATCTTGGTATTGTAAATAATGCTGCAGTGAACATAGGGGTGCATGTATCTTTTTGAATTAGTGTTTTGGATTTCTTCAGATTAATACCCAGAAGTGGAACTGCGGGTAATTCTATTTTTAATTTTTTTGAGGAACCCCCATACTGTTTTCCAGTGGCTGCACCAATTTGCAATCCTACCAACAGTGCATAAGGGCTATCTTTTCTCCACATCCTCGCCAACACTTGTTGTTTATTGATTTATTGATGATGGCCATTCTGACAGGTGTGAGGTGATACCTTATTCTGGTTTTAATTTGCATTTCTCTGATGATTAGTGACATTTAGCATCTTTTCATATCTGTTGGCCATCTGTGTCCTCTTGGGAGAAATATTAGGGTCCACTGCTCATTTTTTAATTGGATTGTTTGGGTTTTTTGGTGTTAAGTTACATGAGTTCTTTATAAATTTTGGATATTAACCCTTATTGATGTGTCAGTGGTGAATATCTTCTCCCATTCAGTGGGTGCTTTTCATTTTGTTGATGGTTTCTTCTGCTATGCAAATAGTTTTTAGTTTGATGTAGTCCCATTTATATTTTTAGTATCTTTTGTTTCCCTTGCCTGAGGCAACATATAAAAAAAAATGTTACTAAGAGCAATATCAGAGACTTTACTACCTATGTTTTCTTCTAGTTTTATTATTTCAGGTTTTACATTTAAATCTTTAATCCATTTTGAGTGTATTCTTATAGGTGGTATAAGGTCAAATAGTTTCAGTTTTTTGCATATATCTGTCCAGTTTTCCCAATACCATTTATTGAATACACTGTCTTTATCCCATTGTACGTTCTTGCCTCTTTTGTTATAGGTTAATTGACTATATAGGCATGGGTTTATTTCCGGGCTCTCTATTCTGTTCCATTGACCTATGTGTCTATTTTTATGCCACTAACATGCTTTTTTGATTACTATAGCCTTGTAGTATAGTTTGATATCAGGTATTGTGATACCTCTAACTTTCTGTTTATCAAGATTGCCATGGTTATTCAAGGTCTTTTATGGTTCCATATAAATTTCAGGGTTACTTGTTCTAGCTGTGTGAAAAACGATTGGTATTTTGATAGGGATTGCATTGAATCTACAGATTGTTTTGGATAGTATGGACATTTTAATGGTGTTAATTCTTCCTATCCATGAGCACGGTATATGCTTCCATTTATTTGTATCTTCTTCAATTTCTTATAATTTTTCAAGTGCAAGTCATTTACCTCTGGCTAAATTTATTCCTAGATATTTTCTTTTGATACAATTGTAAATGTGATTATTTTCTTAATTCCTGTTTCTGAGAATTTGTTACTGGTGTATAGAAATGCAACTGAGGGCCGGCCCAGTGGAGCGCTGGTTAAGAGCTGGCTTGGGACGCCAGAGGGCCCCAGTTTGGATCCCACATATGAGGGCCAGTGACACTGCCCTCTACAGCTAAGATG